TGGTGCGGCCCTCCCCACTGTCGCTCGCCCCCCGCAGATAGGGCGGAGGGTGCGGGGAGCCGGGGAGCAGAAAGGGCCCGCTCGGCCCCATGCTTCCATCCAGAGGGCGAGCTGGAGCCGCAGCTCCAGAGTGATTGGCTGGTCCTAGCAGTCGTCGGTCTCCACGGCAACCGTCTCCAGTCTCCGTGACAACCGGAGATGGAGCTGGAGGGAGCGCAGCAGGGAAGGCCGCTCCAGGCCAGCTCCTGGGCTCGACTGGGCCTTGGGCTACCGGGCTCTCCACAGCTCGGTGACCTGCCCCTGCCCCTCACCCCTTCAGTTATCCAGGCGGCGGAAGGTAAAGAAACGCGCCTCCGCGGGAGACTCCAGGCAGCCGCCTTTGCCACACCTCCCAGCAGGAAGCGCTGCGAGTGCGTCCACAGGGGCGAAGCGCTGCGAGCGCGTCCACAGAGGCAGCTCACCACCCAGATCCTCTGAGCACGCCGCCCTCCCCCTCCCCCCAGTGCCAGGCACCGGGAGACGATGAATGAGAGATTGTCACCCCTGAGCTGGGGTGCAGAGATCAGAGCAGCCATTGTTGTTGGCAGGGAGGGGGCCTCCAAGTCTCCAGTACTGTGCTGGTCAGGCCCCAGAGCTCATGACCAGAGGCCGCCCTCCAACTGCCCCCAGACCTGCCTCAAGGTCAGCGGCTACCGCATACCTGGCTGCCAGCTGGGCATCTCTCCCTGCTGTACCCCAGGCATCATCAGTTCCAGTACATCCAAACCTAAGCACAGCATCCTCTGCAAAACTGCCTAACCCTACATCTCTCTCAGACACTAGAAATAAGTCGTTTTTATACTATTCAGCCATTAAAAAAAAAAAAGAAGACGACCCTGGCATTTGAAAGTGGTCGAATATTAAAGATCTATTGCAGAGTGAAGCAAGCCAGGATATGAAAGAAAGATTATGTATCCACTTAATATATACCTATTTGCACTTTATGGTAGAGTTCGAAATATTGGAGGGCATAAAAGCAATGAAAATAGTTACGGACGCTGAAGACAGTGTGGGGGAAAGAAAAGGGAAGAGTATAGAGAAGAATAGCAAGAGAACAAATAGGCATGGCATTAGTGGGACACAGATATGGTTTATTACCTGTTGATGATAACATGCATAGTATTCACAACTGGACTGGTCTGAGAAGTATTTCATGATGGGTAAATTCTCTTTACAAGCCAAATGATGTATAGTGATTGAATGTTTAAAAAATAATGAGAATAAATAATAATAATAATAATAATCTGGAAAAAATAATGAAAAGCTAGTTGATGATGATGATGTGAATAGTAATGTTTTTGTCTTGACTGATACACATGGTAATCGTGCTGAAAAAAGAAATGTAATACACTGTAAAGATATATATGATAGGGCCAGCAGTTGGCGTCATGGCTATGTCACTGGACTCCCACGTAGTTGACCGTGGTTCGAGTCCCAGACCTGGTGACTCATGCTGGGCGCATGTGCATGTGTGCCCCAGATCCCAAGAGGAGAATGGAGGAGAAGGGACTGTGGCCTGGCCATCCCCCCAGGAGGGTGATTTCTTGCTTTCTTTCTGTCTCCCTCTGTCTTTCTGGTGAGCACACGCACCCTATATTACACACCCCCCCCCAAAAAAAAAGATATATGTGATTAAATGTAATATAAAAATTATGATAAATAAAATTTAAAAAACGTCCATTTTTCAACATTATTTTGAGACTCCTCCTCACCCTCCTTTTTTCTTCTCACTCTCAACTTAAAGACCATCATCTTCACCTTCCAAGCATCTCTTTTCTTTTAGAGAGATTTTTGCTGTAGGGTGCATGCGCTTGCCAATGATTGAGACAGAAAGCAAGAAATAATCCCCAGAGGGGACGGCCATGCCACAATCCCTTCTCCTCCACTTTCCTCTTGAGATTTTGGGCATGCACACATACATATGTACCCAAATGAGTTTTAAGTTTTTTAAGTTGTCGAATTTTAAGTAGCGTGAGTTTTAAGTCACCAGGTCTAGGACTTGAACCGCAGTCGACTATGTGGGAGTCCAGCAACGTAACCATTACACCGTCTTCTGGTTCCTTTTTTCTTTTCTTTTAAAAAAATTTGCCAGAGTGGAAGCCAGCAGGTGGCGTGGTGGTTAAGGTGCTAGATTTCCACATGGCTGACTCTATGGTTCCAGCCCCGGACCCAGTGGCTTAAAAATCATGCCAGATTCATGTGCGAGCATACCCAAAATCCTGAGAGAAGAATGAAGGAAAAGGGACTGTGGCATGACCATCCCCCCTGGACCTCAGGATCAGATGAACAGCATGGCAGCAGAGCACCTGTGACCCCACCCCACAGAAGACCAAGCCTGAGATTTTCTGCCTGAAACCCACCCAGAGGAGGACCAGGTGGGCATCTTCATCCCCGTGTGGAACTGGAGTCCCACTGATACCACAAATTGAGCCTGAAACTCATTGAAGAATGAAGGAAACAAAACAAAACAAAACAAAACAAAACAAAACACTTTCTCATAAAGCAAAAACCAAAGGAATTGTTCCTATAGACCTCCCCTTAAAGATCAGCTAATGGAAGTTCTTCAAACAGAAGGAAATGATAAAATAATTAATTTGGGCCCTTTGGGAAGAACAAACAATAGAAAAAGAAGAAATGTAGTACATACAATAGAATCTGCCCCATGAGTTTTTTGTCTTTTTTTTTTTTTTTGAGAGAAAGTGGCTTTTTTTTTTTTTTTTTTTGATAGATTCTTGCTGTTATGATCTGCCTGCCCCAGTTGCCCAGTAAGCCAGGATTATAGGCACATGCCACAGTGCCCAGGCTGTTCAGGTTGATCCAAGATCTAAACCCAAGCCTCCTGTGTGGCCTCAGACCCATGCAGTGGGACTGTGCTGGGCCTCATGAGTTTTCTAAAGTATATGTGATGATGGAAACAACAAAAAATTGTAACACCACCTGATACTCAAGACAGTATTTAAAAGTAAGAAAGATAGAGACTGAATTGAAAGTAAAGTTTCCACACTTAATTGAGAGTGATAAATACCACCATAGACTGCAACAAACCATGTCTGTTCATTTTAATACCCAGGATGACCTTAAGAAAAGTATATGAAATGATATACTCAAAAACATTATAAATAAGCCAAGATATTTTTTTTTTGAGAGGTTTTCGCTATAGGGCGCGTGTGTTCGCCAGACAGACAGAGAGACAGAGAGACAGAAAGCGAGAAATCACCCCCCAGGGGGGAATGGCCATGCCGCAATCCCTTCTCCTCCATTCTCCTCTCGGGATCTTGGGCACGCATGCACACGCGCCCGGCGTGAGTTTAAGCCACCGGGTCCGGGACGCGAACCGCGGTCAACTACATGGGAGTCCAGCGACATAGCCATTACGCTTAACTGCTGGTTCCCAATAAGCCAAGATAGAGTCTTTAAACATGTTCGATTAATACACAGCAAAGTAAGAAAACAGAAACAATGGAACAAGCAACAGGCGAAAAATAGAAGACAACAAAATGACAGACTCAACATACGCAAATAGGCTGAATACTAAAAGACTAAACTGTGTGTGGTTTATGAAAACTCATTTGAAATTCAATGACATAGGTATGTAGGTGCTAAAATAACAAGTAAATGTATCATATGAACGTGAATCAAACAAAAGAGAACACTAAAAATCAAGCCAAACCAAACCCACTTGGAATTGGTTATGTTAATAGCTGAGAAAGCAGACTTGAGAGCACAGAGAATTGTTAGAAACAAAGAGAGACATTATGTAAAGGCAAGACCCTGAGAGGAGAGTGGAGGAGAAGGGACTGTGGCATAACCATCCTCCCTGGACCCCAGGATCAATTCGTCAGGGAAACAGATGATGCTTAACGTTCATACACCAAACAACACAGCCTCAAAACAGCATGGAGCTGTAGGAGAAACATACAAGGCAATAATTATATTGCTAGCTGAAAATTTTGACTTATTCCTATTTTTTTTTCATAAAAAGAGTACTTTAACTCTTGTCCTCAGAAATTATAAAGTCTATACATGATTTGGAAATGAGACTGTACTAAGCAATGGCCGAAGGAGAATTATCCATTTTACAACTTCTCTTTGATCTCGTCACTCAGAAATATAATATTATCAGCTATGATTGTTGTTGCCTGTCGCCTCACATTATTTTTATCTGTGTATTCACCATAGTCTACTTTCCCTTCCACATAAATTCGAGATCTCTTTTTTTTTTTTGGAGAGGTTTATTTGCTATAGGGGGCGTGTGCTTGCCAGACAGACAGAGAGAGACAGAGAGACAGAAAGCGAGAAATCACCCCCCAGGGGGGATGGCCACACTGCAATCCCTTCTCCTCCATTCCTTTCTCGGGATCTTGGGCACGCAAGCACACGTGCCCGGCATGAGTTTAAGCCGCCGGGTTTGGGACGCAAACCGCAGTTGACTACGTGGGAGTCCAGCGACATAACCATTATGCTAACTGCTGGTTCCGAGATCCCATTTTCACATACTGATATGCCACATCTCTGAAGCCTGGCCAGAATTCTGATATTCTGTGCCGTGTTGTCTTTGTCTACCATCA